CGCATGCGGTTTTAGCGGCTTTTGTGGCAGGCGATTTAGGTAGATCACCATCGCACATGTACACCCACGATGGCATGAATACACGCATCATCATCATCGTGATCATCATCATCACCATCAACATCATCATCATCATCATCACCATCAAAAACAACAACAGCAACAGCAACCGCAACAACACAACAACAACAACAACAACAACAACAACAACAACAACAACAACAACAACAGCAACAACAACAACAACAACACTATCAACAACACAAATCGTCGCAATGCGTCAACACTCGCCCGACCGTCGCCGTCGCACCCGTCGCCATCTGCTCGCTCTCGTTACGCTGCTGCTCCAGACCTCCAAAAACTGACGATGTCCCATGTCTTTCTGGGCACCTGGACCTGTTGACCTGGACCCGTGGACCTCCAAACACACGACCCCCAGGACCACGACGAACAAACAACTCTGTGAAGTGATCCAGGGGGACGAGGGCAGACAACATGGGAACGCATCGGGTTTTGGGGGGTCTTGCTGCTGCCGCCGTCCTCCTCCTTCTCCTCCTCCGCCTGCTCCTCCTCCTCCTCCCTCGCCTCTCCTTCCCCCCCTCCTCCACCTCCTCCTCTTCCTTTTTCCTCGAGAGGCCTTCGGCCCATCCCTGAGAGGCCTTCGGCCTGAGATGCCTCATCAATGTTGGTTGGGATCTTCCCGCTCCCTGCCCCCCCCGCTTTTCCTCCTGATCCTGCTCCTCCTGCTCCTCCTCCTCCTTCTCCTGCTCCTCCTCCTCCTGCTCCTGCTCCTCATCCTCCTCCTCCTCCTCCTCCCCCGCATCCTCCTTCTCCTTCTCCTCCTCCCCCTCCTCCTCGCCCTTCTCCCCCTCCTCCCTCCCCCCCTCCTTCCCTCGCTCCCTCTCTCCCTCTCTCCCTCCCTCCCTCCCTCGCTCCCCCCCTCCCTCCCTCGCCCTCTCCTTCCCTCCCTCCTCCTCGCGTCCTCCCTCTCCCCCCCTCTGGGCGAGCCAGGCGCCTGCTGCCCGGCGGGGCCCAGCTGCCCGGCGGGGCCCAGCGCCGCCGCCGCCCCGCCAGCCCCCGGGGGGGCACCCGGCCGGCCAGGGGCGGAGGAGGAGGTCTGGAGAAGACGAAGGAACGACGAGGAGGAGGAGGAGGAGGAGGAGGCAGAGGCGCAGAAGGAGGAGGAGGAACAGGAGAAGGAGGACCTCAGGGAGATAAGCAGGAGGAGAAGGAAAAGGAGGAGTACAATAAGGATACTGAGGGTGAGAAAGAGTAGGAGGCCCCTCCTCCTCGCTTCCTCTTCCTCCTTCTCCTCCTCTCCCTTTCCTCAGCTCTCCAGCCCTCCCCCTCCTCCTCTTCCCCGGGGCCCCCACCTCCTCCTCCTCCTCCACCTTCTCCTCCTCCTCCTTCTCCTCCTCCTTCTCCTTCTCCTCCTTCTCCTCCTCTCAGGGGGCCTCCGCCTCCTCCTCCTCCGCCGCCCTCTGCTGCTTCTCCTCGTGCTCCTTCTCCCCCTCCTCCTCCTCCCCCCCCCCCCTCCTCCTCCTCCTCCTCCCTCCTCCTCCTCCCCTCCTCATCATCATCATCATCATCATCATCATCATCAGCTTTCCCCTTCTTCTCCTCTTCCTTCGCCTCCTACCCTCCCCTCCCTCATCGTCGCCCTCCCCCTCCTGTCGCCGAACGTGGCCTGAGACGAACGAACTTCGAGCGCCGCGCGCCAAAACGCACTCTCGGCACCTGCTTGAGTCAAGGCTTGCACCCCTAGTGGGGCCGCAAGTGGAACTCCCCATGGGGCCACGAAACGTTGTCCTGGGTGTGGCGGACGCATGTGGCCACCCCCACTGGGGCCGCAGGTGGGGCTCCCTATGGGGCCACGAAGCGTTGTACTGGGCGCATGTGGCCACCCCCACTGGGGCCTTGGGTGAAGTTCCAGGTGGGACTTCGAAGCGCTGTACTGGGTGTGGCGGACGCATGTGGCCACCCCCACTGGGGCCTTACGTGGAGCTCCCTATGTGGCCACAAAACGCTGTACTTGGTGTGGCGGACGCATGTGGCCACCCCCACTGGGGCCTGACGTGGGGTTCCCTATGGGGCCACGAAACGCTGTACTGGGTGTGGCGGACGCATGTGGCCACCCGCACTGGGTCTTTGGGTTAAGCTCCCTATGGGGCCACGAAGAGCTGTACTACTGGGTGTGGCGGACGCATGTGGCCATCCCCACTGGGGTCGCAGGTGGAGCTCCTATGGGGCCACAAAACGCTCTACTGAGTGTGGCGGGCGCATGTGGCCACCCCCAATGGGGCGTTGCGTGGAGCTGCCTATGGGGCCACGAAGCGCTGTACTGGGTGTGGCGGACGCCTGTGGCCATCCCCCACTGGGGCAGCAGGTGGGGCTCCTTGTGGGGCCACGAAACGCTGTAATGGGTGTGGCGGACGCATGTGGCCACCCCCATTGGGGCCGTTGGTGAAGCTCCATATGTGACCACGAAACGCGGTAACGGGTGTGGCGGACGCATGTGGCCACCCCCACACAGGCCTCGGGTGGAGCTCCAGATTGGGCCACGAAGCGCGGTACTTGGTGTGGCGGGCGCGTGCGGCCACCCCCACTGAGGCCGCAGGTGAAGCTGCTTATTGGGACACGAAGCGTTGTACTCGGTGTGGCGGACGCATGTGGCCACCCCCAATGGTGCCTTGCGTGGAGCTCCCTATGGGGCCGCGAAACGCTGTACTGGGTGTGGCAAACGCATGTGGCCACCCCCAGTGGGGCCGCAGGTGGAACTCCCTATGGGGCCACGAAGCGCGGTGCTGGGTGTGGCGGACGCATGTGGCCACCCCCACTGGCGCCTTACATGGAGTTCCCTACGGGGCCACGAAACGCTTTACTGGGTATAGCGGACGCATGTGCCCACCCCCGCTGGGGTCGCAGGTGGAGCTCCCTATGAGGCCACGGAACGTTGTACTGGGTGGGTGCGACGCATGGAGGAGGGAGGAGGGGGAGGGAGAGGAGGGGAGAACGGGGGATTGTGGAGCCCCTCGGGGTTCCAGAGCGCGCACGCGAGGCTTTCACACTGAGTTCGCGCGTGCGTCTTTCAGTGGTGTGCGCACTCTGTGGCGTATTCCTCTCATTCCGCCTCCCCCTCCTCGTCCTAGTCCTCCTCCTCCTCCTACTCCTCATGTTTTGTGTGTTTTTTCGCTCCCCCTCTCCCCCGCCCCCCCCCCCCCCCCAGCAAACAAACTGGCCATATGGTTGTTTCAGATTTTGTTTGGGGGGGGGGGGCTGCGAAAACAGACTGCGACGTGGCCTCATCTGCCCTCCCCCTAGAAGGATTCCTATTGGACGCCACCACAAGAAGGATTCTTAGTGAAACCCTCTACAGGAGGGTTCCTATCGAAACCCTCCACTGACTGATTCCTATCGAAATCCTCCACATATGTATTTCTAGTGAAATCACCCGCAGAAGGATTGGTATTGCGATGCTTCGAACGAAAGAACCCCCCGTTGGCATTGCATTGGCATTGGTTTGGCGATGGTTTGGCATCGCATTGGCATTGCGTTGGCATTGAGCGTGGCAGTGCGTTGCTAGTGTGCTTGCAGCTCGCAAGCATTGCGCTGGCGAGTCCTAATTGAACCCTCCACAGAAGGATTCCGATCGGAGCTTTCTACAAGAAGGACTCCTATTGAAACCCTCCACAAAAAATGTTTCATGTTGACACCCTCCACAGAAGGATTCCATGCGACATTTTCCACATAGAGATTCTTATTGAACTCTACCACAAAGGATTTCCACCATTGGCATTGCATTGGCGTTGGGTTGGGATCGCTTTGGCATTGGTGTGGCATTGCGGTGGCACTGCGTTGGCATTGCGCTGGCATTGCGGTGGCGATTTCTAACACCTCCCTTCGCAGACTGATTCCTGTTGAACCCCCCACACGAAGGATTCCGATTGAAGCATCCCAAAAGAAGGGTTCACATTGAACTCCTTCACGGAAGGATTCCATTCGAAGCCTTCCATAGAAGGATTCTCTTTGAACCCGACCACAAACGATTTCCCCCATTGGCATTGCATTGGCATTATGTTGGGATCGCTTTGGCATTGGCTTGGCATTGCGTTGGTATTGCGTCGGCACTGCGCTGGCGAGTTCTAATGGCTCCCCCACAGAAGGACACCTATGAAAACTTTGTTTGAGATTGAGATGCTTCGAAAGAAAGACCCCCCGTTGGCATTGCATTGGCATTGGTTTGGCAATGGTTTGGCATCGCATTGGCATTGCGTTGGCATTGCGCTTGGCAGTGCGTTGCTAGTGCGCTTGCAGTTCGCAAGCGTTGCGCTGGCGAGTCCTAACGGAACCCTCCACAGAAAGACTCCGATCGAAACCTTCTACAAGAAGGACTCTTTTTGACACCCTCCACAGAAGGAGTCCATGCGAAACCCCCCACAGAAGGATTCTTATTGAAATCTACCACAAAGGATTTCCACCATTAGCAGTGCATTGGCGTTGGGTTGGGATCGCTTTGGCATTGGTGTGGCATTGCGTTGGCACTGCGTTGGCATTGCGCTGGCATTGCGCTGGCGAGTTCCAACACCTCCCTTCGCAGACTGATTCCTGTTGAACCCCCCACACGAAGGATTCCGATTGAAGCATCCCAAAAGAAGGGTTCACATTGAACTCCCTCACGGACGGATTCCATTCGAAGCGCTTTATAGAAGGATTCTTCTTGAACCCAGCCGCAAACGATTTCCCCCATTGGCATTGCATTGGCATTGAATTGGGATCGCTTTGGCATTGGCTTGGCATTGCGTTGGTATTGCGTTGGCATTGCGCTGGCGAGTTCGAATGGCTCCGATTTCGATGAAAACCTTGCACAAGAAGGGATCCTTTTGAAAGCCTCCACATGAAGGATTCAAAGCGAACCCCCCACAGTCCGTAACCATTTTGGCTCAAGCGCAGGGAGGGTCAGCCACGCACCCATCAGCCTGTCTTCTCCTCTCTCGGCAAACATGGCGCCTGCGTCCCTCATGGTGCTGCTCGCCACCTCGGTCTTGCAGCCCTGCGCCAGCGACACCCTGCGCACGCAGGTTGCTCGAAAGCTGAAGGCGAGCGTGTCGGCACTGCCGCGCCCGAATGCCAGCGAGCTGCGCGCGCAGGTCGATCGCAGGCTCTCGATGGCCTCGATCTCGCAGGCTTGCCTCTCGGCCTGCCCCGACGCTCAGGACATCTACAGCGATATCATGACGGCGGCCATGTCGCTCATGGCCGATTCCTCCGGGTCGTCTTCGGGCATGCCCGATATGTCTGTCCTGGCGGAGCTCCAGTCGGCCGTCTACGACGCCTATTGCACGCACCGCCCTGCGGTCAAGTGCATCGCCGACAACCCGGTCGCCTGCAGCGAGGAGTCGCCTGATATCCTCGCCGTCGAGCCCCAGCTGGACTGCATCTGCGACGAGTGCCCCAGCGCTAGGCAGGCGCTTGCTGATTTCGGCACGGCACTCCTTGCAGCCATGTTCGAGGCTTTCTCAGGCGACGGCTCCGACGGCAGCGGCGATGGCACGACAGTTTCGGAGACGGAGCTGATGTGTGCCATGTACTCGTTGCTCAGTTGTTCGACCACAGCGCCCACCTATTGCGGGCTCGACATCCTTTTGCCTTCTATGGAGCTGCCAAACGTGACCACCGACGAGCTGGCCTCGATGGATGGGACGTGCTCGAGCACCGACGTCGAGCCAGCTGCCGACAGCTCTCGTCTCATCAGTCCGTGGTGGCTCTCAGCGGCCGTCCTGCCACTGGCGGCAGCACTTCGGTCCGAGTGAGCTCGATGCTGCGGTCTGGTGCGCTGCTGGGCCCCGCGTCGCGCCCACGGGCTGAGAGGACCACGTGCGTCGCACGTCGAGAGGTAGGCGCGAGAATCGCAAGGAGGACACGATTTTGAATTGAGCACTTCGGCATCAACTCCTCCTCCTCCCTCCTCCTCCTGCCCCCCCCCCCTCCTCACGTCCCCCCGCTGCAGCTCATTGATTGCCACCCCGTCACATCATTTCCGAGAGCGTTGCAATTCAGGGCCAAAGAGCTTGCAACATCTTGCGCTTCATCTATCTTCGCAGCTTCTGTATGCCGCGTTCTGCCGCGACAATCGATTGCACCGACATCTGGTTCCTAGAATTATCCTGGCGAAGGACCCAACCATATGCAGTTGTGAGTACCGCAATTGTGAATATCTTTTTCGGTGGCGAGCCCTATGGGGCCACGAAACGTGTGAGGGGTGTGCCGAATTGGGTATGGCTGACGCATGCGGGCGGCGGCACTGGGGCCTTCGGTGGAGCTCACTATGGGGCCACGAAGCGCATGAGGGGTGTGCCGGAATGGGTTTGCGGGTCGCATGCGGGCGGCGGCACTGGGGCCTTCGGTGGAGTTCCCTACGGCAGCCACGAAACGTGTGAGGGGTGTGCCGAATTGGGTGTCGCTGACGCATGCGGGCGGCGGCACAGAGGCCTTCGGTGGAGCTCCCTATGGGGCCACGAAACGTGTGAGGGGTGTGCCGAATTGGGTGTGGCTGACGCATGCGGGCGGCGGCACTGGGGCCTTCGGTGGAGCTCCCTATGGGGCCACGAAACGTGTGAGGGGTGTGCCGAAATGGGTGTGGCTGACGCATGCGGGCGGCGGCACTGGGGCCTTCGGTGGAGCTCCCTATGGGGCCACGAAACGTGTGAGGGGTGTGCCGAATTGGGTGTGGCTGACGCATGCGGGCGGCGGCACTGGGGCCTTCGGTGGAGCTCCCTATGGGGCCACGAAACGTGTGAGGGGTGTGCCGAATTGGGTGTGGCTGACGCATGCGGGCGGCGGCACTGGGGCCTTCGGTGGAGCTCCCTATGGGGCCACGAAACGTGTGAGGGGTGTGCCGAAATTGGTGTGGCTGACGCATGCGGGCGGGCACTGGGGCCTTCGGTGGAGCTCCCTATGGAGCCACGAACGTGTGAGGGGTGTGCCGAATTGGGTGTGGCTGACGCATGCGGGCGGCAGCACTGGGGCCTTCGGTGGAGCTCCCTATGGGGCCACGAAACGTGTGAGGGGTGTGCCGAATTGGGTGTGGCTGACGCATGCGGGCGGCAGCACTGGGGCCTTCGGTGGAGCTCCCTATGGGGCCACGAAACGTGTGAGGGGTGTGCCGAATTGGGTGTGGCTGACGCATGCGGGCGGCAGCACTGGGGCCTTCGGTGGAGCTCCCTATGGGGCCACGAAACGTGTGAGGGGTGTGCCGAATTGGGTGTGGCTGACGCATGCGGGCGGCAGCACTGGGGCCTTCGGTGGAGCTCCCTATGGGGCCACGAAACGTGTGAGGGGTGTGCCGAATGGGTGTGGCTGACGCATGCGGGCGGCGGCACTGGGGCCTTCGGTGGAGCTCCCTATGGGGCCACGAAACGTGTGAGGGGTGTGCCGAATTGGGTGTGGCTGACGCATGCGGGCGGCGGGCACTGGGGCCTTCGGTGGAGCTCCCTATGGGGCCACGAAACGTGTGAGGGGTGTGCCGAATTGGGTGTGGCTGACGCATGCGGCGGCAGCACTGGGGCCTTCGGTGGAGCTCACCTGCCGAATGGGGCCACAGAAACGTGTGAGGGGTGTGCCGGTGATGATGATGATGATGATGATGATGATGATGATGATGATGATCGATGATGTCGATGATGATCATGTGATGATGATGATGATGATGATGAATGATGATGATGATGATGATGATGATGATGATGATGATGATGATGATGATGATGATGATGATGATGAATGATGATGATGATGATGATGATGATGATGATGATGATGATGATGATGATGATGATGATGATGATGATGATGATGATGATGATGATGATGATGATGATGATGATGATGATGATGATGATGATGATGATGATGATGATGATGATGATGATGATGATGATGATGATGATGATGATGATGATGATGATGATGATGATGATGATGATGATGATGATGATGATGATGATGATGATGATGATGATGATGATGATGATGATGATGATGATGATGATGATGATGATGATGATGATGATGGTGGGGGAGGAGGAGGAGGAGGAGGAGGAGGAGGAGGAGGAGGAGGAGCGGAGAGGAGAGGAACGCGGGGCACCGTCTCTTCAAAACGAGGACCCACCACCACAGGATGGTTGGGAAAAAAAACGACCCCCCCACAGCAAGATTCCAATCGACACCCTGCACGGGAGGATTCCTATCGAAATCCTCCGAAGAAGGATTCGTAACCAAATCGTCCACACAAAGATTCCTAATGACATCTGTTGGACGACAGGAATCCCGCCATCGCCATTGCGTTGGCATTGGTTTGGCGACGGTTTGGCATTGCATTGGCATTGCGATGGCAGTGCGTTAGCAGTGCGTTGGCATTGCGTTGACATTGCGCTGGCGAGTCCTACTCAGACGCTTCACAGAAGGATTCCAATTAAACACCCCACAAAAGGACGCCGATTGAATCCCCCACAAGAAGGATCCAACTTGAAATCCTCAACAGAAGGGTTCCATGCGAAGCCCTCCATAGAAGGTGTCCTATTGAAATCCCCCCAATAAGGGTTCTTAGAAGGATTGCTATTGAAATCCACCACAAACAGTTCCCCCTAGTGGCATTGCATTGACATTGGTTTGGCACTGCGTTGGCACTGCTTCGTCATTGCACTGGCGAGTTCGAATGGCTCCCACCACAGAAGGATTTCTTACCTTCCACAAGAAGGGATCCTTTTGAAAGCCCTCCACATAAATTAGCCTGGCGAAGGACCCAACCATATGCAGTTGTGGGTATCGCATTCGGGGGAGCCCCGTGTGGGGCCACGAAACGCCGTGCTGGGTGTGGCGGACGCATGCGCCCCCCCCCCCGCTGGGGCCTTCGGTGGAGCTTCCTACGGTGCCACGAAACGCTGTGCTGGGTGTGGCGGACGCATGCGCCCCCCACCATTGGGGCCTTCGGTGGAGCTCCCTAATGGGCCACGAAACGCTGTGCTGGGTGTGGCGGACGCATGCGCCCCCCTCCATTGGGACCTTCGGTGGAGCTCCCTAATGGGCCACGAAACGCTGTGCTGGGTGTGGCGGACGCATGCGCCCCCCCCCCCCCCCCACTGGGCCTTCGGTGGAGCTCCCTATGAGGCCACGAAGCGCTGTGCTGGGTGTGGCGGACGCATGCGCCCCCTCCACTGGGGCTTTCGGTGGAGCTCCCTAGCCACGAGGCTATGGTCATTTCGTGGCCCCATAGGCTATGGGGCCACGAAACGCCGTGCTGGGTGTGGCGGACGCATGCGCCCCCCCCCCACTGGGACTTTCGGTGGAGCTCCCTATGGGGCCACGACACGCTGTGTTGGGTGTGGCGGACGTATGCGCCCCCCCCCCCTCTGGGGCCTTCGGTGGAGCTCCCTATGGGGCCACGAAGCGCTGTGCTGGGTGTGGCGGACGCATGCGGGCTGCGCCACTGGGACCTTCAGTGGGTCTGGTCTCTCTATGGGGCTACGAAGCGTGTGAGAGGTGTGCCGAGAGCAAAGGCAAGGAGGGGGAGGAGGGAGGAGGGGGAGGAGGGAGGTGGGAGGAGGGATGAGGGAGGAGGGGAAGGAGGAAGGAAGGAAGGAGGAGAGACGCGGGGCACCGTCTCTTCAAAACGAGGACCCAACACCACATAATGGTTGGGACATAATCATACTGAAGCCCCCCACACAAGGATTCCAATCAAAACCCTCCACAGGTAGGATTCCTTTTGGAATCTACCACAAAGGATATCCCCCATGGGCATTGCATTGGCATTGAATTGGGATCGCCTTGGTATTGGTTTGGCATTGCGATGGCAAAGCTTTGGCATTGCGTTGGCAGTGCGCTGGCGAGTCCTAATGGCTCCCTCCGCAGACGGACTCCTACTGAAACCCTCCACAAGATCGATTCCGATTGAATCCCCCCCACATGAAGGATTCCTAGTGCAACCCTCCACATAAGGATCCTTATCGAAACCCTACACAGAAGCATTGCTATTGACATCCTCCGAAGAAGGATTCGTAATGATATCATCCACAAAGTATTCTTTTGGAAATCCACCGAACGAAAGGATTCCCCCATTGGCATTGCATTGGCATTGGTGTTGGTTGGGACTGGATTTGTATCGCATCGGCATGCATTGGCCTGGTGCAGGAGAGAGAGAGAGAGAGAGATACAAATAGAGAGAGAGAGAGAGAACACTAGAGAACGCTATAACGTGAAAATATTAGTATGAGGGGATCACGGCGAAAAGAAAAATGACAAACAACAATCAAAGTGTAAGGGTGAAAGAGCGTTTCACTCGATAAAACCGTATGAAAACGACGAGGGGATCCACAATCCCCCGGCCTCGAGGAGGGAGGAGGGGGAGAGGAGAGGAGAGGAGAGGAGAGGAGAGGAGAGGAGAGGAGAGGAGAGGAGAGGAGAGGAGGAGGAAGACGGGGGAGGAGAGGAGAGGAGAGGAGAGGAGAGGAGAGGAGAGACCGGGGGACCGTCTCTTCAAAACGAGGACCCAACACCACAGGATGGTTGGGAAAAACACATATGAAGCCCGTACCCCCCCCCAAACCCGAAATTCGGGCGAAATTCGGATCTTCGGATTGGGTTGGGGTGGTCTGGTAGGTAGTCAGTGGCAGGGGAAACTCATGCGAAACGCCCGACCCGCCCTACCAACACTTCTGGGGGTGTGAGGGGGCCGACCCGCCCTACCAACACGTCTAGGGGTGTGAGGGGGAGGAGTTATTTACACGCAAAGGGCTGGAGAAGGAGGATTGGCCAAGCAGCGGTCAAGCGTCGCGGTTTGGCTATAGGCCCACTAAGAAGTGTTGTCATAACGTTTTGTGGTTTGCACGAAATGTTCCTATAACATGCCTGGCTGGGACTGCCTTGTCTTCACACACCGGGTTTGTTTTCTCAGAACATTGTCTTCGGTCCGAGAACAGTCTGGGTCCTAAGGACATCCCGTGGTAGGCCTACAGGAATGCCGGGACGGTCGGCCCCGGCTCAAAGAGACGGAGGAATCTCTCACCCTCCGCTGCAGGGTCCGGCTTGCATAAGGAGCACTTGCTTTTCGAAAGGGGAGCCCCGCTGGTGTTCCCTCGGACTTCGTAGACCTACGTGGAGAAAAAGAGGGGCTTCGTTCTTGGGCGCCGCGTAATGGGGGGGTCATGAATGGGGGGGTGGCGAGGGTGGTTCGAAGAGGTACCCAAACGGTACCTCAACGAGCCCCCTGGGGCTCTGGAGGGGCCCGAAAAGGGCACGAAAGGGGACCTTTTCGGACCCCCCCATATTGTGACCCCCCCAATGAGGCCACGCCCAACGTTCCTTCTTCATCGTTCCTTATACACCCTGGGCGATGCTTAAGAAAACGCAAGGTTTCGGCCAGAGTCTTGATTATTCTTATTGCTTCAATGGAAAACCTAACTTTTTAGTAGAAATTGTGGAGTTTTTTTCAAATTCTGAGACTATGAATTTCTGAACCCATGATTTCTTAAGCATTTCGCAGGGTGTAGGTCAGGCCGAATACTGCATCGCCCCTCCCCCTCTCCGCGGCCCGCCCCCTCCGCGAGGCCCCCCCAGCCGGCGCCGGGCGCGGCGATGCCCCTCCCCGGCCGGCCCCGCTCGCCCCTGCAGCCCCGGTCGCCGCTGGGCGGCGCGCCCTCCCCGGCCTCAGGCGGGCGCGGGGGGGTCGGGGGCGGAAAAGAGGGGGGTGATGACTAGGGGGGGGTGGATATCATGGCGTGGGCCATGATATTTCCCCAGATTTCATGGCGCCCCTCCTTGTTTCATTACGTCCCTGGCCCCCCCGCTGGGCCGCGCACATGCCGCCGGTCATGATTTGCACCCCCCCCTCTTGGACACCCCCCTCTTGGCCGCTCCCGAGGGGAGGTCGGGGGCGGCAGAGGGGGGGTCCAACGACGCGAAGAGCGGGACAGAATCGGATCGGGATAGCTCGAAGTCTCCGAGAAGCGGCGGGTTTGGAGGACGTATTGGGCGCCGCGGCCGCTCCAGAGCGTTCCGGAACGCTCTGAGAGCGCTCCGGAACGCTCTGGAGCGATTTATCCTGATCCTAGCCCTGTTTTAGGGGGGGGGATGACCAGGGGCGGGTGGATATCGTGGCGGGGGCCATGATGTTTCCCCAGATTTCATGGCGCCTCCTCGTATTGCATTACGTCCCTGGCCACCCCTCCCCCTGGGCCGCACACATGCCGCCGGCCCTGATTTGCGCCCCCCCCCTCTTGGACGCCCCCCTCTTGGCCGCCCCCGAGGAAGCTGACGATCAGAGGAGGAGCATCTATCACCGAGCGCGTTCCACTACTCGCAAGGTGCCTACTCGCAAACGTCCGAAAGACACATGTCTGCCTTGATGTAGTGTATCGTAGATCCCCCGCGGCGGGTCCAGACCATTTGCGAGTAGTTACTTTGCGAGTAGTGGAACGCGCTCGGCTAATCTAGGCCTCCCAGAT